ACATTGTGTCAAAAAAGGGCACAAACGAATTGAGACCTGAGGGAGATTTTGGGAGGTTAAACGTCAGAACGCTAAGACAGTGAAGGATAAGTATCCTATCCCAATATTTGCGATTTTGCAGCTTATAGTTACGTGGAACAAAGGTATTTTCTCGATTAGATTTGGTTAAAGCATATCACCAAATTCCAATTAATTCCTCTGATATCCATAAAACGGCTATTTCCACTCCTTTTGGACTTTTTGAGAGGACAAGAATGCAATTTGGGTTATGCAATGCAGCTGCAACCTTTCAACGCTTTATTGATAAAGTAACTCGCGAGCTGCCAGGAGTATTTGCTTTTGTCGACAATATATTTATAGCGTCAAAAGACGAAAATGAGCATTGGTTTAACTTCTTTGGAATTTTTGGGTTTTCATGTATCTGAACAGGGTTTAAAACCTTTACCCGAGAGGGTAGAAGCTATTCAAAAATTTCCTAAACCAACCACATTAACTCAGTTAAGGAAATTTCTTGGCATATTTAATTTTTACAGACGTTTTGTCCCAGGAGCTTCACATGTTTTAGCTCCCTTGAATAGGTTACTGAAAGGCCGCATTAATAAAAGGAAACCTTCACAAACCAAGCAAAACAAAAGAATATCCTCTCGAATGGGACGACGAAGCCGAGAAAACATTCGAAAATGCAAAAAAGGCAATTGCTGAGGCAACCCTTCTCAAACACCCAATTCCTGGTGCGAGTTTGAAACTTTGTACTGATGCCTCGGACGTTGCGGTTGGTAGCTCATTAATGCAACTGCATAATTCAGTTTGGGAACCCATTGCGTTTCTCAGCAAAAGTCAAAGGAAATGGTCAACTTATGATCGAGAACTATTGGCAATTTATTTGTCTATTAGGAAGTTTCGGCACATGCTTGAAGGCAGGGTTTTTACAATCTACACTGACCAAAACCCCTTAATATATGCTTTTAAACAGAAGCCCGAAAGTGTTCTCCACGACAACTTCGTTATCTTGATTTATTGGCCAATTTTCCACTGACATACGTTACATCAAAGGTGTGACAATATCGTTGCGTTGCTTATTTTAGGGTAGAAATAGATGCAGTATCTGACAACAATACATTGATTATAAAAAGTTATCCGAAGCACCAAATTCAGGATTTTGAAATTCAAAATTACTTATCTCAATCTCACCAGTTTTTAAACTTGAGAAACATACTTTCCTTTAGAAGATGTTACTCTTTACTGTAATATGGACACAGTTATACCTCGACCGTTCATACCTGAATCTTTTCGCTCTAAAATATTTAGGAAGATTCACGTCTTTTCATGCCGGTATTTAATTCAAACAAAGCTAATACTTAGCGCTATTTTGGCCTAATATGAAGAAAATTTATTAAAACTGCAATTCAATCATGTCTATAGTGCCAAATTCTAAATTCATAGGCATACAAAATTGCCGTTGGGTACCTTTCCTTGCCTGGTGCAAGATTTGCACATATCCATATTGATTTCATAGGTCCTATTCCACCGTATGGAGCTGGTACCGTTATTGCATGACAATTATTGACAGGACAGTTACAGATGGCCAGAAGTCATACCTACTGGTCGACATGTCAGCTCAGACGACTTTCAAAGTGTTAGTGCATAAGGGATAGCAAGATTTGGCTCCCCGGATCAATAACAACGATCAAGGCCGAAATTTGAATCTCGCTTATTTAGGATTTAATGAAAATTTTGGGTCAACATGCATTAGAACTATGCTTATCATGCCTCATCCAATGGATGATTGAGAGATTTCATAGGCAACTTAAAAGTTCAATAATGGCTCATAACAACCCAAAATGGACTGAAATTTGCCTATTGTTCTGTTGGTATTAGATCTGCCATTAAGAAAGATATAAATGCTACTTGTGCTGAACTTGTCTACGGTACTAACACTTAGATTACCGTCAGATATGCTGAATGTTACAAATATTGTATCGCCTACTGAATCTTATGTGTCACAAGTTCGATCAGTCATGCATTTAGTTCAGACCTATTCCAACCTCTAGGCATATTCAAACACCAATTTATGTACATTCAGCACTTCAAACCTGTTCTCATGTATTTCTGCGTATAGATTCTGTTAAACCACCTCTAACTCCACCTGACACTGGTCCTTATACCTTGATTAAACGAATGGATAAAAATTTTATTATTGAGGTAAATAACAAAAAGATTGCAGGTTACAATCGATCGTTTGAACCAGCATAATGTGTTAGAAGTATAATTCACCTGTAATTCCTCAGTTTCCACAGGAAGTTGCGAAGACAAACTTTTCCAAAACAATAGTTACTCGAAGTGGACGTCGTGTTCATTTTCCTAAAAAAATTACTGTAATATGATTAAAGTTTTCTCTTGTGGTTGCTGCAAATGTTACAATGTATAGATATTTGATTATTATTATTATTATATATTATTATTGCATACGTTGAGTTATAAAATGCTTATTAACTTTTCATTATTTTTGTTTAATAGTTAGGCATTGTGAGTATATATTCCAATCAGAATGGTAAATGTATTATACTATTCATATTTGTATTTCTTTTTATACGTACAATTTTAAAGTTTAACTGTTATTTGAATGTGCATATCTTAAATTGGAAATTTACAGCCAACCCCTTTTGTGTCGTGACTGTGTCAATGGGGAGATACTCTATGGCAATCTAATGTTCGACTGCGTGCGCAGCCAATCCACGTCATGTGGTTTATGTAAAAACTGTTAGCGCAGCAGTGAACTAGCTCACTTCGCCCTTAGCTGGACCATAGGATATTTGAATTTTAGTTTAGTAGATTTTGTTATTTCGTTCCGTTATTTCAGTTGTGTTTAAAGTTATGGTGTGTGTGAATAAAGGTTGCGTTTAAGGAAAAGGAGTCATATCAATTCAAGGATATACACCAAGCACATAACCACTACGCCACCATAAATGTTTTAGGAATTTAGAAATAGCGTACTGACGTTAGCCTTTGTTAAAATAAACCTCTCAATGCTGACGTAATAGAACTGAATTTTATGGCCAAAATATTGATATTAACGCTTTTGAGATGCAATTACTGGAATTTAAACACAAAGAATCATCGAGTTCCAATTTTGAACGCCTTAATGCTGATATGGAAAAATTAGAAAAAAATGAATGTGATCTGAAGTTCACAGTAAAAGTGGTCTGCTTCGAAAGACAAGGAGAAAGAAGCATGACAATTTTCAAAAACCTGAAATAGTATTTCTGACTCATATGAGCAGTTTAAAAACCTAGCGTTTACTGTTCTTTCACTCTTTGGCTGTCCATATTCATGCGAACATTCTTTTTCAATCCTTAACTTTATCAAAAGTAAACTAAGAAATCATCTGATTGAAGAGAACCTGGAATCCTACTTGAAATAAAAAACAACATACAAACCAGTCTTTCCAAGGAAATGCAAGATCATTGTTCCCATTAAATTCATATTTTCTCCTATCTTTATTTTAATTTGTAAAATATTTTTTTCAATAAATAATGATAATATTATGAAATCTTTTTTTTTATTTAATGTTAGTATCTAGTTTAAAACGATTTATATAAATATGAGTCTTCAAATAAAATTTGGCTCTAGAAAGAAATCTTAGCCGTTTTACTGCTGATTTTTGGTTCTTCTGGCTAATGAGTTTGCCGGCCGCCGGATTGGATACCATTCATTCTATAGTCTACAGCAATTTTGTTAACAGTTCATAGATGGCAGCACCAGCATCTTCAAATTCAGCATCATCAGCAAAAATTTGTTGATAAATAATTTAATTATCAAATTTATTTACAATAAAAAATAGCTTGGCTCTAGTGTAGAATTGAGTGCCCCTTCGATTACCGACAATTTTTTGTAAAATTTTGGCGATGAAATCTCATTTCTGGTTACTATGATAGTTTAACTTTGCTTTAGCCTCCTGATTTTTTTTAAAATAAAAATAGATTGATGTGTACATGGTCAAATTTAAAGCAGTGCGCAATGCCTAGTTTGTGCAATTCTGGGATGTTTTTTTAAGTGAAAACAGATCGATGTGTACATGGACACAGAGTTTATGCAATTCTTTGACTTCTTATTTTGGTTTTGTGTAGCGGCCATCTTGAAATTGTGTCTTCGTGGCGCCGATCTTGACGTCAAAAAAGAATCGCCAAAAAACAAGGGGCACCCAATTGTAAACTTTTACCAATAGCTCTTTAATGAATATAGACTTATTCATTATGCTTAAGTTTCAATTTCCACCGGTTGCCCCGAAAGATGAATTATTTAAATAAGAATGCTTTTGTCTTCCAAAACGATTCACCGACGAAATCTGCATTTGACTGTGACGCCATAGGCTAAGTTTTTAAGTGTGTTGGTTGTTCTTTCATCGTAATAATACTATGGTCACCGCCGTTAAGAGATATTTGTTACATTGGTTAACTATGTTACATGATGGCCGATTTATTGATGACCATGTGACTCAGTGCTTTTACATTGTGGATAGTCAGTTTTCTCAGATTTTAATCCCGTAGGGAAAGGTTAAAGATCTATCCGAATCAACTCACATCTTGAGTATCTGCACCATTTTTTTTAACTAATGCCAACTCTGTTTCAAATTTTATTATATTTTTTATTGTATTGATTCTATAGCAACGCTCAGTTGCTACTTCTTCTTAAAGATGAAACTACAGTGATCACGATTCGTTCTTAAAACTGTTAGAATTTTCCTACAATCATATATAGCTTGATATTAGCTTAGCCTTAGGCTTCTATTGTTTCCGATTCTTCCCATTTGCCAAAGTTCAGCTTATCATTTCGAATCTGCTGTTTCGATCCGTGCCTTTTCTTCAGCAAGATGTTCTTTTTATTTTGAACTCAGTAATTCTCTGTATTCCTTTAAATTTGATTTGTTTATGTATTAAATTATACTCATAAATTAAATATTCTGAATGAGAGCTGTCGATGACATTACTATTCTCTTCTAGCTACTACAAGTGAGCCATGTGCAGTGCCCGAGGATTCCCAACTTTCAACTGATTTAGATTGTGGAGGGGAGGATAGCCGGTGTCAACTAGAACATTGTACTTTCTGCGATTATAGGGTGTGTTGCCAGGTGGTAAGTTGCAATTCTTTATTTACATAATTGATTCTAAACAAATATCGTAAGACCAAAAAACAAATATTTGAGAGATATTGTGCTAACTCATTTATGTGATACAAGAATATACAAGTAGTCACAATAGCCAAAACCTACCCATACAGCACACTTAGTTGCTATGACATTGACCTCTCAATGTTGCATTTTCTTCACATTACATTTGTGACCACGGCACAACGTCACAGAAATGTCGCATTGTGATGTGGATATGAATGTCGTACGGATGTCACATACACGTCGCAGCAAACGTTTAATGTGACGACAAGAAATTCGCAGTTCTCCCCACCCTGACCTTTCTTGACCTTGCTTGCGTAATTCTTCTTTAATGGGAGGTATTCTTGAGTTCTGACTTCCCTTCCCCGATTCATTGCTATGTGTTTCAGTGAACCTTTCTAAATAAATGATTCTTTTATACTTATAGCTTGCAATTTTAGTTACTTCTTTTTTATTAAAAATAGTAACAGTTTTTGCGTGTTTTTATTGATGTGGTACTTTGAAATCATTGAACTATATTCTGTGGTGAATGGATTGACATTCTACCGTATCTCGTGTTATCAAGAGAGACTGACGAAAGAGTTTGTTGTCTGCATCGCGTTTGTTTGTCTTAAGGATTTTTACGATAATTTTTTTAGTTTTGTTAACGAAACACATCGTCTGTGCTACGTTTTCAGGTAAGCACTATTCATTGTACATTGAAGTGAATGATATCAGTAATAATTAATATGTAATAATAAAAGCCTAATTTAAATGGTATGAACAAAAAGAAATACTGGCAGTAGATTAACTTTTATTTGTATTACAAAAAAGAGTGCGGAAGCAAGGGCCATTATCAAAAGTCATCTTGTTTTTGTCTCACTGCTTAGAAATTTTAATTTAGGGAGTCAGGTTTATTTGGTAGATATAATCCACATTTTGTTGTTTTTAACGTTAAAAGATAATGGGGGGGAAAATTGATTTTATGCATTTTACTGCAGCACTTTCATCGTTTTCAGCTTTTTGTCGAAATTATTCACAAAATAATTACTTCCTTCCATGCGTGGTACTTAGCGCCACATTATAAATGATGCAATACTTCCATAACCACGTTTTATTTATATAGAACACTTTTTTTAATTATTATATATTCCTACAACGTTACTGCGACATTGAGGTCGACACAATGCGACACGTTTGCAATGTTGCAGATTTAAAAATAAGGAAAAGATGAGCATATAAAAATGATTTTTCTAAATGTACCTGAATACTGTTTGTTGAAAAGAAATGAGATACCTTGTGATTAATAAAACTTTTCTTATCGGTACAACAAAAACTTAACTTTTCTTTATCGTACAACATGAAAAGTTCGTCGTTAATCGGCCTCCGTTATATCTTTAGGCGCACCATCGAATTCTCTTTCGTATTCACTATCACTGTTACTCTGATCCATAGAGTCACCTTCCGTTCCATCTAGGTTATTAGATAGCACAATATTTTTTTAAGGTCTTTTGAATTATATCTGGTTTAATTTTATTACATGCTTTTATTATCCACTCACACATTTCTAGATTGGCATGACGCATTTGGCCTCCTTTTCCTTCCATGCGTTCGATTTTCACTTCAAAGCCATGGCTTCAAATGACTACATAAAAAGAAAACATCTAACTGCTAATTCCATGAATTCATTCAGGTCAGAAGTGCATTCTTACCTCAAATAATGTCCTCCTTTTTCACAAAACCGTAGAATAACATACTCGTGCATAACTTCACTGAATACAACTCACCCTTTTTGCAGAATTATTTACTTTATCAATCATTTCTCCACACGCCCACCAGCGGCCGAGCGGTAAAGTCGCTGAACACTGGTAGTTCGGTCCGAGGTTCGAATCCCGCGAACGGGCTGGCTGCATGGGTGTTTTCGTGGTTTTCCCCATGTGTAACGTGTATACGAGCCAGTTTCCCTTAGAAAGTCCTCCACGAAGGCATCCCTCCCTCGAGGATCCCTCGAGATAGCCCTCGAGGCTTTGCCATAATCACACACACACACACACATTTCTCCACACACGCACATATTGTTCTCCTTATGACTTTGTCAGTTCAGTATATCGTTGTTCGAAAGCCTGGCAAAAATCTTCGAATGAATGACTTCAAAAGATAAGAGCATCGCACTTGTATGTTTCAGGTTTCTTCGTAAAGAAAAGGGTGCGTGTTATATAGCGAATGTACCGTATGTATGTACTGCATATGGATTGTATACAAATAAATTTCAATGAATGTTACGCATGTTTATATATTTTTAAATGCATATTAGCCTAAATTACCAAAAAAAAATATCAAACATATCATAAATAAACTAAGTCCCCGATTTACGGCAGGATTTCTGCAACGTTTTTTGCATCATAAGTCGAAGACACCTCTGCAAGTATATCTTAATTTATTAAGTTTTTTGCTACTTTTCCGTTTTGCCGGCGCAGGCGATAAAGTCGCCAATAGTGGTACAACTGATATCAAACGGAGTATCCTCTCTGGTAACATTTTACGCCTCATTTTCAAAACAAATCGCAGCCATTTCTTATCAGATTGTTTCTTTCAATACTGGGGTAAAATTGCATAGAATTTTTACCAGATAGCTCAATTTTATGTCCTAAGGCCACCGACAAAACGGAAAAGTACCGTTTTTATCTAAGGAGCATGAATAATAACATATAACAAATATCCTAAATGAGTCGTTTTTAGATTTCATGTGATAATAAATGAATTCTTTGATAAGGTCATCCATAAAAGTAAAAATTATGTGCAATTGAAATGATCATTCTGATATCTGAAACAAATTAAGGATTTTTTAATTGTGGAAAATTTTGTATGTGAAAAATGAAAATAGAATAATAGGTACTTTTCTAATAGGTTCTATGTACATAAAATGACATAGAATTTTTACCAGATAGCTCAATTTTATGCCCTAAGGCCATTCGAGGTAATTAAGTCAATTAGGATGCAATCACACCGCTCACCCGAAGGCAAAACTATGGAAAAAACAAAGTCAAGGGTTAAATTCATCAGTTCTAATCAGAATGCACTAGCGAAGTAAAGCACTGCGGTTTTACATAATTTCTGAGTAAGCTAGTCATACGAATTGAAATAATTCTTGCATTTTAAACTTGTATTCCAAATTAAGATTTAACTTGAAATTAATGCAGATAATTTTTGTAGCGGAGTTTACGTGAGATGAGATCACTTGGGGACACGTGATATGAACCAGCGAATCAGGATGTTGAACCATAAAAGCATAGTAAATTCTTAAATTAATGACTTTTTACAAATTTATTGCCTTTATTTATTGGCTTTTTATAAAATTTTAAACGATATTACAATGTTTATGCCTTCAAAATAAAAAATTCTTAGAACTAATATTTGTTAACATTTTTTATGTGTATACTGCATCATGTCGCCAATAAAGTCTGCTTGGCGAGATTTGCGCCGGCGAAACGGAAAGGTACCCGTTTTCTTAACGAAAATTCATTCGATAGTCCCATTTTGCTAGCTTTGTTTCTTTGTCGTGACTTCGTAATTCTTCTTATATTTCAAACTTTTTCAGGATGGCCTTTTACTAATGAATAAAATTATATTTGTCACTTAAATCGTAAAAAATACTATCATTTAATTTTATTTTTAAATATACATGGCATAAAATTAAATTATTGGCTTTAAGAATCCGTATGACATCAGGATGTATGTCTTGAAAGACCGCTTAAAAAGCTGCCACGGCATTGCGCACCACATTGGCTTTGCCCATGTGCACGTCGATCTATTCTCACTTAAAAAAACATCAGAGAATTGCACAAACTCGGCATTGCGCCCCACATTGCCTTTGTCCATGTACACATCGATTTATTTTCATTTAAAAAACATAAGAGAATTGCACAAACTCGGCATGGCGCACATCCTCGGCATTGCGCACCACATTGGCTTTGCCCATGTGCACATCGATCTATTTTCACTTAAAAAAACATCAGAGAATTGCACAAACTCGGCGTTGCGCACCATATTGGCTTTGCCCATGTGCACATCGATCTATTTTCACTTTAAAAAACATCAGAGAATTGCGCAAACTCGGCATCGCGCACAACCTCGGCTTTGCGCACCACATTGGCTTTCCCCATGTACACATCAATCTATTTTCACTTAAAAAACATCAGAGAATTTCACAAACTCGGCATCGCGCACTATATTGGCTTTGGCCATGTACACGTCGATTTATTTTCGCTTAAAAGAAATCAGACATTTAATAAACTCAGCATTGCTCATATACTCAGAAATCTCATGCTTTAAAAAAAAATCAGAAAATTGCAGAAACTCGCGCGTAACCAACTCCATTGATTCGAGTTGTAAAAAAAAGTGTCTAGAAAAATGATACAAAACAAAAATAAAGCTACCAGAATAAAGCCACTACCGAACATCCAAACTGCCACATTTGACAAGCAACCAATACTTTACTTAAGTCAATAATAATAAATGAAACTTACCTTCAGTCCTCTTCTTTCACAGAATATATGGCTGTGATCTCACTGAGAAATATATGCATCAATTGGCTGGCGTCAGATTTCTTGTGTTTCCTTCTCCAAATGTTTCTGCAAGATAGGAATCAAACTGTTCTTTTGCCTTCGAGAACCACGGAAACTTCTTTTAATTGCTGCCCAAGTTCCCTCAATACAATAGCCTGTCTCTGGATGTCTATGCGCACCTGTCTCTGGATCTTTAAAACGCAAGCTATGATTGACTTTCAGGTGCGCATATCCTTAGAACTCGAGACAGTCGTATGTCTTCCAGCAATCCGATATAACAGTCGATCCTGGTAGAACATGCTCTTTAATGATTTCCAACAATGTTTCGGCACCTCTGTTTTCAACAACTCTAAACACGCATTTATCCGTCTCTCTCTCAATCAAACCCAAAACCCATCTTCCTTCGACTCTTTTCACTCTA